AGACCGTCTCTCATTAAACCTGGAGATCTCCATTTGGCTAGGCTGGCTGCCCAGAAAACCCCAGGCTTTTCCTCTCTCCACCTCCCGGAACCAGGATTACAGACAGGCATAGCCACACTTTGGCCTTGTATGTGGGATCTGAACTCTCCTCTCCCTGTACTTATAAAGCAAGCACTTTACCTATGGAGCCCCACCCACCCCCAGTGCCTGTTACATTTTTTTCCTTGAAAAGAATAAAGCCCTCCAAAGGTGAGTTCAGAATAAACAACACATTCCCTTGCTCCCCATGTGGCCATTTTCTCTGGGCTAAGGCCCAATGAGGAAGAAGAGCTCTGGGAATCCCTGAGGGGAACCAGTGGGCTCTCAGCGGCCACTATGGGAGAACAGCACGTTTTACAGCCCGCCTCTCTCGGCTCTTTCAACAATCCATCTTGTTCACGGAGCCATGTTTCCCCCAAAGAGCAAACCAAATCAGAGACTCACTCCGTGCCAAGCAAGAAAAAGCAAGTGGCCTGAGTTCTGCCTCTGAGTGTAGTCCAAGCCAGCCTTCAAGGGACCCCGGTTGACAGAGGGGATCTTGGCCGATTGATGGTAGCTTCAGAAGAGCCACAGAAGGGAAGGCAGGTTACCAGTGAGGAACGCCGCACTTAGCCAACAGCGTGTATGTTTGAGACCGTGGTAGGAGAGTAAATGCAAAGGTTTTTGGGATACCACGGGAGAGTGTTTTTCTTGTTTTGAGTCAGGGTCTCCCTGTGTAGTCCAGGCTGGCTTTGAGCTGGCAATCTATCTACCTCAACTTCTCAAATGCTAGAATTACAGTCATACGCTACCTTGCTTTTAGGGTCCTTTCAGAAGGTAAGAATGTTTTTTAAGATACTGTCTAGTGCTCAGGCTGGAGGCTCAACCCCCAAAAGCCCCTGGAAGGAACTGCCTTCTAGACAGAGGCCGGTGCCAGGCGAGGAATGGCTTTGAATCCTTTCATAGACACTAAAGCCCCTGGAGGAGAGGCTGGGAATCCCCATTTTTTAATTAAAAATGTCTCCTAATAAAAGGCAAGATAGCATGACTTCTGAAAGTTCCCACAGGCTGCTGAGGATCTGCCAGGGATTCAACTGTGTCATTTTCTTAGGGGTGTCCCCAATTACAACCGCTCACCCACCTGATGGAAACTCATTCTTTTTGGATTTCAAACGCCTCCATCCCTCCTCCCCCCAGCTTGGCCTTCGCACTCTTAATAAAACATGAAAACCCCCGGTCCCATGTCATCCCAGGGCTCCCCTGCAGCCTGTCTGCATTTCTCATCTCCAAGCTGCTGCTGCTGCGCCGTCCATTTGCGTGGGAAAGGAGTCAGCACGGAGCCCTTGTCCCTGGGAGGTGGCTGTGATGTGAGGGTGTTCAAAGTCACAGAGCTGGGGTCCCCCTCACCGTGCGAAGCCACTGTGCCGCCTTTTACACTCGCAAGATCAGAGGGTATTCTCGGCAATCCTGGGCCTGGCATTGGAAAAGTCTTCCTGTAGGGAAAGTGCATTCTCTCTGGAGGCCATTAGCAATGCAAGGCTGACTCTCCGAAGGGAGGGGCAATGAACATATTAGTAGCCCTGGCCTCTGTGCTGTGGCCCTGGGCTGCACAGGGGATGGTGCTTATCTCATACCCCATCTTCTGGAACTTTCAGAGGAATCCCGGATTTGAACCCCTAGCTCTTTGTCAATACTGGGGTGCAGCAGGGGTGTTCATAATTCCAATGCTAGAGAGGCGGAGACAGGAGGATTGCCGGAGCATACTGGCCAGGCTAGCCAGTTGGTGAGCTCCTGGTTTAGGGAGAGACCCTGTCTCAAAAAATAAGGAGAGATGGCTCAGCAATTAAAAACATTGACTGCTCTTTCAGAGGACCTGGGTTCAGTTCCCCACGTTCACAGGGTGGCTCACAAAACATCTGTAACTTCAGTTCCAAGGGATCTGACGCCCTCTTCTGGCCTCCAGGGGCTCTGTGTGCTCATGGTGCATATACTCACATGTAGGCAAAACATGCATATGTATAAAATAAAAATGCTTGATGTCCACCTCTGGCCTCCACATGCACCTGTACACACTTGCAGGTGCACCCATGCATACACACAAACATGTACACACACACACACACACACACACACACACACACACACACACACACACGAGCTTCAGCGAGTATAGGCACCTGAAACATGCACCATCATCATGCCCACTGTACAGATGAAGAAACTGAGGCAGGACACTTCCCAGACTTATCAGGTCACTGGTTGGTTGACCCTGGAAGCCAGGGTACGACAGAGGCAAGGCTTATTCAGCCCTGACCTGGAGAGCATCCCTTGGCCTTCAACTATAAGATACTAGCTCTCCCTGGGTTCAGTTGCTCTTACCTGTGTGTCTTCCTCCTTCTAAACTAAAGTAATACGGAAAATAGGATTATATCTACTGTCCAGAGAAGATGTCTTCATCTTCCTATGGTGATGTGGTTCTGGGGGCAGATCTGGCTCTGTGGTGGGTAGCCTACTACCAGTTCATTCTGTCTTACTCTGGATGCCCAGAGCTGGACACAGAGAGCAGAGGAAAGTCCGCTCACCACCCATTGGGAAGGCCTGGTAGCTTCCATGTCCCCATCTGGGACACTAATTTTCACCCAGGGATGAATCTGTTTAAGCCATCGGTTATTGTGCTACAAGAGAGACAGCTGCCTGGAGTCCAAGGTCATTTCTTTCTCACACTCCTTTATGTCTACCCACCTGACCCTCCTCATGTTACCCCCCTCCCATGTCCCTTCCCTCCTGAGTTCCTGGAGAGGTCTGTCTCAGTCTCTGATCTCCAACTGACCTCTTCTTTTACCACCTGGAGGATCGCAGGTGAACCTGCAGACTCTTCTAGAGGACCCACCTACCCTTCCCTCCTAGCTGTGGCTGCTCACAGGCTATGCTGGGAGCCAAGGTTTCTAGAAGCTGCAGCTCTGAGACCTTGGACTGGCCTCCTGACATCTCTGAACCTTATATTTGCTTATTAGAGGACTGGACATGCGGACATCCAGTGTCTCGTCTATTCCCCCCCCCCCCCCCCCCCCCCCCATCTACTGAGGGATCGCTTCCTGAACCAGTGGTCCAGAGAAGTTAATCACACTTGCCTGGGCTGTGGCCAATGCTGTCATTCCCATTCTTTCACTGGACAAGACACTCTGCTTGGTGCTGGGTATATGAGGGGTACCAGTCAGGCTATCACTTTCTCAGTGAGGGTTCCTATTCTCTACCCATAACTCTGCCTTAGCCCTCTGCATGACCCAGCAGGTTCATTGCACCCTGCAATCATTTATGTTGGCTCTCTTGAGTCCGGTGGGGACCACCACCTCAGGACACCTTCCCGATATTTGGAACTCAGAAGACGTGAGCCAGGCTGAGGTTTCCAGAAGACACTGCTCCCTGAGTAACCTGTGAGCAACCACAGAGGGTAGGAGAGCAGAGTGGGTGCTGAGTGACCTTGACTTTCACCTTCTCTGGGCAACTTCTAACTACGTTATTTCTCACATTCACCTGCCATGCTTTGTATGGTCCTGGAGCGCAGCCTGCAGTTCCCTTCCGAGGTATTTACAGAGCGAAGGGATCCAAAGCTAAGTTTGTGTGTGAGCATGTGCGTGAGCATGTGCATGTGCATGTGCGTGTCCACATACGCGCATGGGTTTGAGCTTTCTGACTTGTAAGCCTTAGGTTTTTCTTGAAATCAACTTTCTGGTCTGGCCTCAGTCCGGTGTTCATCTGCAAGAGACAGACAGATGCTGGTAGAGACAGAGAGACAGGACAAAAGAGTGCAAGAAACGTGCATGCTAGAAGCCTCAGGCTGCTCTCCCTGTGGCCCGTGGGCAAAGGAACACTTGCCCTGGTCCCATGTTCAAGTCTCTTGATATTTGTAAACAAGGTCCTTGTCACTGTGGGGATGGAACCACAGTGAGTCAGGGTCACAGCTGAACGAGAAAGGCCTTACCCATGCTCTTGCCTTGGCCTTCCTTTGGATGGACTTTCAAAGCCTGCACAACTAACCACAACAGCTCAGGGTAGCAGATAAGCCTGGGTCTGGCCAGCTGGTGTGCAGGTGCGCAACACACACACACACACACACACACACACACACACACACACACACACACACACAAATTCAGTGTCACCTTCTGGGGGTGAGGGCAACAATAGTCGACATAGCAGTTTTATATCTAAGATTCTGTATTCTGGGTTTTATGTTCGCTGATGGCCCAGCTGCCTGCTGGCATTTTGACTTCTAGAACTTGCTCCCAAACCACTCAGTTCACATGTCCTTCTCATACACACGACCCTGTGACACTTCCATAACCCTTCTGGGTCCTTCCTCAGCCTGATCTTGCTGGAGGGGGACATTGCTTCCAGACACCTGCTTTCAGAAAACTGCAGTCAAGTTGGTGTCTTTGCCTCAGAAGGACGCAAATTGTTCAGAGGGCTTCTGAGCTACTGAGGTCAGAGTTCAAGGCGTAGTACAGAAGATCCTGGGTCTGCACTAGGCCCTGTAGCTGCCTTAGGGATGAGCACAAAGGATGCTGGGAGCTTTGAGATGGCCAAGCTTCTGAACTCGGTGCTGGTGACCCCAGTGAGTGCTACTTTCCTACTCCGCTCTTAAACTCACCCAGAACTGCAGTAGAGCGGCCCCCTGGTGCACACAGCCAGTCAGGAAAATACTGCTAGTTACCCTCTCTGCTGGCTTCTGGAGTGGGTTCCTGAGTGCATGTGGGCTCAGCAGTCAAATGTCCACGAAGGCTTGCTGGCAGGAGCCACCTCCAACTTTACCCACTACCTGCACAGATGCCTCTGAACTCCAGGATTCAGCCAGCCTTAGAACTCGCCTATCTCCAGGTTCATGGGGAGGCGTTAGCCAGCAATGTCCAGCCAGCCTTACACACACCCAGAATCTATCTCCCCGGAAATAGAGAGCGTTTCCCTCATCAATGCACAGTGACTGGCAGCAAACTAAAGAACGTCTTTTATTTTTAATAAAATAGTGGAGCATGAAAAATATCATATATTACAGATATACACAGGCAGGCATCGCCCTCCCTGGCTGGAGACAAAGTTTGTCTTTCCAAGTGCTTCTAGACCACTCATGGAAATCATTTGTTTAACAATTGAGAGAGTCAATAAGCCCTTCGGGTGCTCTCCACCGATTCCTCCTCCCCCTTCCTCTCCACAAATCAGTCCCAATGTGTAGAACACACTGGCTTGGTTTCCATTAAAAAGCCACAAAATGTATCAGGCTGAAGGGTTTTTCTGAGGCCTGGGCCTCTTAATTCTTTTGTTAGATGATTCCTTTTGTTGTCTTTTATTTACAACAAAATACTTTTTTTTCTCTTTTATTTTCATGGGGAAAGGGGGAAAATGTAAAAAAAAAAAACTGTATTGCACACCATTTGAATTCTCCAGTGTTAGGTTTGGGGGGAGGTCTGTGGTGGAGAGCTCTGAAGGCTGAGGGCGGGACTCTTTTTAAGGAACCTGCAGACCTTGGAGTGTAGAGATGGCTCAGGGTCCCTTCTTTCACCCCCACCTCCTCACCCGCCCTGATACAGCAGCCTTGCTGGGAAGAGAAGAGCGGGTCCCTCGGGTGGGCCCTCATTTGCTAGCTCAAACGGAAGCTCTTTAGCTTGCAAAGGAGCTTTCTGGCCTCAAGTTGGTAAGCAGGCAGCAGAGCCTCCTGGATATGCACAGATGTGTGTTTGAGGCCCAGACAAAAGTTTTCTTGAGAGGATGGCTGAATCAACTGCTTTACCACAAATTCGTTGCACAAGAGGCTCCTTCTGTAATGAGGGACCCTTCAAGGAGGCAGCAAACAGAACAGAACCCTTTACTTTCAGCCTATCACATAGTTCCAAACTTCAAGGTAGACTTTATATATATACACACACATATATGCATATATATATATATATACTTTTTACTTTGATTTAAAGAACCAGCCAACCAAGAGGAGCAGCCCAGTTGGGCACTGTCTGTCCTGATCTCCCTGCCAGTCACCTTCACACGCAAGCTGAAGGCTGGGCAGGAAGCTCATACTTCCCCAGGTGAGGTTTTTGAGGGTGCTGAGCTTTTTTGTAGATCCCTGCAGTGGTGACCACACTGGCTGGTTTCCTCCGGCTCTTTCTCTTTAGCCCCCGGCTGCACACCTGTTGCCAAGATTGCAGGGTCTTGGAAGTCCAGACCCACACCCCACTGGTGATGCCCACCACCAGAAGCATGGACACTTTGACCATGAAGACCTCCACGGCAGGGATGGAGGTGGTCATCAGACAGTCGGGTGTCTTGGTCTGATTGTTCATCTTACACTTGTGCTGCGTGGCCAGCATCTTCCAGTAGTCCATGTTCAGGCGTTCATAAAAGTAGCAGGCAATCACACAGGTGGCCGGCACAGTGTAGAGGAGGGAGAAGACCCCGATGCGCACCATGAGCTTCTCCAGCTTGTCCGTGTTTTCCCCACCCGTTTTCATCACCCTCCGGATGTGGAACAAAGCCACAAAGCCGGACAGGATGAAGGAAGTGCCGATGACCAGGTAGCAAGCCAGCGGGACCAGCACAAAGCCGGTCAGGGCATTGACATCCATGCTGCCCACGTAACACACCCCGGTGAGCTCATCTCCTGCCACCCTGCGCATCACCAGGATCAAGATGGTCTTCACAGCCGGGATGGCCCAGGCTGCCAGGTGAAAGTAGCTGCTGTTGGCTTCAATAGCCTCGTGGCCCCACTTCTTGCCAGCTGCCAGGAACCAAGTGAGGGTGAGAACCACCCACCATAAAGAGCTGGCCATGCCGAAGTAGTAAAGTACCAAGAAGACTAAGGTACAGCCGGTGCTCTCCAAACCCTCCTGGATAACATACAGCTGTCCACTGTCCCTGTCGCAGGCAATGCTCTCAGCGCCAGCGAAGAGGCGGATGATATAGCCCACCGAATAGACGCAGTAGCACATGGAAAGGAAGATAATGGGACGTTCCGGGTATTTGAAGCGCGATGGGTCAATGAGAAAGGTGAGGACGGTGAAGGCGCTGGAGAAGAAGCACAGCACCGACCAGATGGCCAGCCAGATCACAGCGAAGCGCTTGTCGTCGCGGCTCCAGTACACATCCACCCCCGGAGTGCAGAGAGGCGCGCAGGACTCGCTTTTCTCCACGTGGTGGAACTTGCCCGGGTTGTCACAGCCTGCGCGCCCGGGACCCCCATCCTTTAGCGGGTGCTCCTGCGCGCTGTGGGGCCTCTGGGGCCTGAAGAGCGGAGGGAACATGCCAGAGCCCCGGCTCGGCTCGTCGGAGCCGTTGTTGGGTGCCTCCATGCACAGGTAGTTGGGGTCATTCTTGTTGGGGAGCTTGCTGCAGTCCAGGGAGTCCGGCCACTTGAATTTGAACTGCTCCATGATCGGCGAGCACTTGAGCCGGGCCTGCTCGCACATGACCCGGCAAGCGGGGATGGGCGTGGAGACCTGCTCAGTGCACATGGGCGCGTACAGAGAGCACAGGAAGAAGCGGAGGTGGCTGTGGCAGCCGTACTCCACGAGCGGCGCAAACTCGTGCAGTTGGATGGCCGCCTCGCGCTGGTTCTCGTGGCCCATCAGGTTTGGCATGCGGGTGGTGTTGTAGCCGATGTCCTTGCACATGGGAATCTCCACCGGCTGGCACTTGCCATCTCCAGGGCGCTCCAAGTCCATGGAACTGATGGCTGCGCACGAACCCATCATCACCTGCAGCACCAGCCACAGGCGCGGGCCCCGGTGCTGCATGGTGGCGCCCGCGGTGTCCCCGCGCCGCTCAGGGCCGCCACTCCCGGGCACGGGCTGCTGCTGCTGCCCGCGGCTCCGCGCCCCGGCTCGGGCCCCCGCGCATGCCCGTCCCGCCTGGCCGGAGCGCTCGCGGCGCCCGGGGCCCCTGCGGTGGGCGCGCGGCCTCGGCCGAGTCGGGGGCGGCGGGGGAGGGGAGCGAAGTTTGCAAACAATACGGCGGAGCGAGCGCGGTTCTGCGCGCAAACTTTGGCCTCTTCTTCCGGGCGCGCGCGTTCGGGGACAGAGGTGGGGAAGCGCGGGCGCACCGTGGTCCCAGGTTCCGGCGCTCCTCCCTCCCGGCGCCGGCAGCTGTTTCCAGCTCGGCGTCCCGGGATGAGAAGACTTGCTAAGAAGCAAAGGGGAGGAAAGGGGGAAGGAAAAAAAAAAAAAAAGGCCGATTGGTGACAGGCCCCGCCCCCGCCCGCCGCCCCGCCCCGGCGCTGCTTTGCATCAGAAAGCCTTGCGCCCCGGGCAGCCTCCGCCCTCAGCCCCAGCTCTGGGCTGGACCCCGGCCTCCAGCTTCACCTCCTGCCGGCCTCTCCTCCTGCGCTCCCTATCCAGGGTGGGGGGCCCCTCGGGATTATCCCCGGTACCCCAAGGACGCCGAGGTTACGGGAAGTTTGGGGACTATCGGGGACCCGGGTAAGGGTGGTCCTCACCCGGGGCTGGGGGGGGGCTGGGGAGGCATCTTCTACTTTTATGATGGCTCCCTGGCGGAGGGCACTTTCAAAGAGACAAGGGATTTGCGTTTTATGACCGTGCTCATAAAGTGGCCCCTCGGCTTGTAAAACTGCCCGCATCTTCCCGAGGTCGGGGGTTTGCTGCCCCGGGCGCGGGGCTCCGGCTCCGGGGAGGGGCTGCCTTTGAAATTTCAAAAGGGCCGCACGCAGGGGAGGGGGAGGGGACCTGGGAAGCCGGAGTTTAGGGCCTCTTCTTGCAAGGTCTACTCAAAGAAAGAGGGGAGGGGACGGGGAGGAGACTTTCCGGGCCGCTGACACCCGGCACCCCGGGAAGAGGGGCTCGACTTGAATCGTGGTGACCCCTGCCCCGCCAAGGCCACCGTGTTGGGGGCCGTCGCGCTAGGCCTGCTCGTAGTTTCTCCAAGCGGTTGGGTTTATTTATTATAGGAAGTCGGGTATTTATTTATATTATTTGGTGAGAGATGTGCTCGGCCTGCGCCCTCCCGGGAGGCGGAGGCTGAGCCCCGGCCTACGCGCGCACTGCTGGTTCCCACGCAGCGTGGAGGAGCCTCTCTGCGCCTCGCGGGGCTGACTCCCGCCCTTCGGTTTTGGGCTAGTCTGTGATAAGGGACACAGAGCCTCCACCTCCTTCCCCCGCACAGGGAATGCACCGTGGGAGCCCACCCCAATCCCTGAGTGTCTGAAAGTACTGGGGTGCGGCACCTGTCGCGGACTCTTGACTTTGGATAAACAGCCCCTTGGGCGGTGGTCTACTCTCTCCTTAGACCCACCCCCACCCCCCGCCCTCTATCTAGATCGGCGTTTGAAGTGTTTTGGAAACTATCAGGACCTCCAGTGCGGATTCCCCCAATTGCATAGGGGGCAGCTAAGCCTCTTGCTCTTATTTCTGCTAGTCCTGCGCACCCCAGGGCCGAGTTAGATGCGCACAGGACTGGAAGCCCTCGGTGGCCAGCTCCCTCCAGCAGCCAAGCTAGGAGCGAGGCTGCCCAGGACCCCTCCTCCCCGCCCAGCCCTGCGCTTCCTCCAGAGGCTTCTAATTAAAACGAGGCGTCAGCGTCCCATCTGCAGGAAACCCGGGGAGTTCTCCTTCCTTCCCTCTCTCATCTGTCAGACATTGTGGACAGACCTGAGGCTGGGACATGCCTAGGACCCCTGAATCCTCCGGGGCAGGCTCATGGTCCCTTTTGCCATGATCCCCTGGTCCTTTTGCCTTTCACAGGAGGCGCTGGGAGGAAGTTGGGTCCAGGGGAACAGTGCTTAGGAAGGCTGAGGTTAACGCGGTCAGAACCGCCACCCACTACCGTGTTAGTGACCCAAGAAAAACGTGATGTGTGGTGAGAGCTTGCGGCTTGTACAAGGATAGCTTGCGTGGATATTTATAGTCTAGTAAGCTGTTTTCAAAATCTTTTCAGTTAGGTAAGATTCCTGGGCCATCGCTTAGCTTTAAGACAGGTTGGATTACAAGGGGTGCTTCCTGACGCTTTTGCCTTCGGTCTATTTTTTTTTTTTTATCATTTCCCTCCTTTTGGGGGGTGGCGTGGAAGAAACCAGGGTGAGCTCAGCTCCGGAGCAGGGTGTGAGCTATTTGAGACAGCTCCACGTAACTGGTCTTTTATGCTCTGGTTACTTCTACAGTGTTCAAACCTATTATTTTAGCCATGACCACCTCACGTCCCTTTCTTCTCCCCGCCCCCCCCCCCTTTAACTATATTAAGAAAAAGCCAACAAAATTTCTTCCATCTGCCCAACCCAGAGAAAGAGCGACAAATACACATTTGGTACCTAAAAAATAAGGGCCCGGAGAGAGACCGAGAGTGGAAGGCAACTCTCGACTAATAAATGAAAGGGCCCCTTTGATGGCTCCAGCTGAAAAGATATTTTATTTTTCCCTCTCCTGTGTGTGGGATTTGAGATGTGTGACTCTGGAGCAGCCGGGTCCCCTGCTGCTCAGCCCTGGCTCGGAAACGGGCCCCCCTCTGGCAAGCGTTACGGAGAGCTGGGAGGAATTTTATGGCTGTCTTTCTCCTCTCGGCCCTTTTTTTTCTTTTGTCTTCTTTGAAGAACGACTTTAGACATTTTATTTACATATTTAACCAGGGATAAAAGAGGGAAGGAAAGCTTTGGGGGCTGGCCTGGGAATAGGGCTATGTTTAAATTAATGGAAATCTTATTAGGCTTCTAAAATTTTGAGCAAGGGTTTTTAATGGAACTCCATAATTAAACACGATTTTTAAATAACATCCTAAAGCAAGGGATACTCTGAGCCCCAAATCTCCTAATACATCTATCTACGTTAAACAAAAAAAAAAATCTCAGAATACTGTCCATAGATATTATCTTAAAGTTCTTGTGACCGTTAAGAAAGGAGAGTACAAGGAATACTCCTAAGAGCCAGGCAATGTCTGGAGCTAAGCAAATTTGGAGGTGGCAGGGAGTTGAAAGGAAGGCCCTGTTTCATTCCCCTTAAACGAACAAAGTCAGAAGTTTAAAAAAAAAAAATAGTGTTCGGACACGGGTCTCTAGCAATCAAAGCTGTATCCTTCCTTAGTATGTCTTGGGTGAGGGAACCATAAACTCTTGAGAGGTTTTCTGAAATGGGATTAGAGAGAACCCAAATAATCTCTTTATGATAAAAAAAAAAAAAAAAACCTACTGCACCTCCTACAATAAAGAGAAATTAAGCCAGAAGCTTAGCCGGTTACAAGCTAATTGCAAGAGTAGACGTGTGGGATATGAACCCAGGTCATAAAAAGACACGAACATCCCGTCTACCCTCTTAAAGATGAACCAGGGAGATCCTGGCTTCTTCAAGCTGGTCTTGGTAGCTTCCCCTTGACTGGCCTTTTCTGGAACCTTCCTGTTTGGGGATCCAGTTGGAAAACTCTTTGAGATCTCTGTTTGCATTTCCAAATTGTCCCTTAAAGGAAGGAGAGTGGTCTCACACATAAGAGAATTCAATTTTCCAACCAACTGGCCTTGGTCCCATCACTTCCCTCCCAATTTTTTTCTTCTTCTTCATAGGAAATACCTTTTAAGTCATCCCGAGGTGATACTTACTTAACACGCACAAACATATACGCAAGTGTAAACACACACACACACACACACACACACACACACACACACACACACACACACACACACCTCATACCACAAAAGCACGGCGGGTCTCCCCCAAACTTAAGAACAAGTTTTAATTACACGTCAGAGCACTAGTTATAAGATACTGGGGCGGGTGGGGGTGGTGAGGCGGGCAGGGAAAAAGCCCTCAGCCCACGGCGTCATAAAATGCATGAAGGAGTGTCCCGGCCGCTTGCAGAACAATTTAGGCCGCTATTTTAAGGCCCACTTCCCTTGAAATGTGGATTGAAATATTACCAGAGGTTCGCGGGGCGCTTTCGTGTGAATTGCAAATCAAGCCTCGCTTTAATCCCCTTTCAAGGCCGGGCCTTGGATCGCTGGCGTCGCCTGGCTCCCCACTGCTTCTGGCGCAGAAGGGACCATTCAAGGGGGCAGCTCCCCTCCTCTGTTCCCACACTCCAAAAAAACAACACGGCAGACAGGCACCCTCCAACTAAATTAGATTAAACTCCTACTCTTCCACAGCGCATTAGCCTTTTTACAGCCCGGGCTCTGCCGGTCGCTCCTCCCTGTTTAAAGACACAGCGCAGCTTTTTCCGTCTCAGCCGCCGCCACACAAACGTGTTGGAGGGGAAAAAAAAAAAATTATCTTTAAAAAAAGGTGTGAAGTGCACCAGGCTGAATGACTTCAGATAATTTGCAAGAGAGACCTCTGTTTAAAACACAGGCAGACCGACGTGTGCCGGCTCCAGGGCTTACATGGACCCACCCTGTGTGAAACACTTAAACCTTAGTATGTGGTGTTCAATAATAATAATAATAATAATAATAATAAAATTTAGAGAGTTCCCTTACAAAACGAAGCAGGCAAATATGTGATTCTGTTTTGCATTATTGTCCCAGAGGAGGCTAGAAGAAAACTGGCTGAGATGAACATGGACCCTTACCTCCTTACCTTGGGCTCACGCTTCTGAGGGCCCCTCCGTAGTTTCTGGGCCAACACCTTTGTCCACCACCCCAGTAACATGTTTCTTTCTTCTTTACTCATGGCCTGTCCTCACGACCTTGGTTACCCTAGCCAGGAAACCGGTCCATCCCAGGCTTCTCCTCCTTGCCCGGGTGAGGGAAGCCACCAGGGTGGCACCGTAAACTGCCCCTTCAGGGACAAAGCTGGGGCCATCTCAAGCTGTGGCTGCCATCACTGGATGTGAGAACCCTTCCAACACTTTCTAGAGCTCCAGCCACAGAATTAAGCACTGGCCCCC